TGGGATAGGCTCCAGGATAAATCTTTAGAAGATTGATGGATGCAAACCAGTATTGTGTTCTGGAGAGTAATGGTTATTTTTAATGAGTGCATTAATCTGCAGTGGACTGGTTTTCCATCCAGGGTGCAACCCTGTCTTTTCCCTGGAGAAGTTCCAGGCAAACCCTGTGATCCAACACTTGATAATTGTTTGGAAAATGGATGGATAGATTGATAGTGTGTCAGTTTAATGGCTTATTCATTTATTGTACCAGGTATGTTTAGGTTGTTGTACAGTATAAAGGCCATAAACATCGAATTGTAAAATGCCTACTCCGGTCATCTGTGCTGTAGCATAATATTTAAAGACAGAGAGGTGAGACCTGAAGGTTGCTGATTGAAATGCCTCCTTTTAAACAAATGAGATATTCGAATGAGTGAAATTGCAACGCAGAAAATCAACAGATAAGCAATTGAAGGGTAATTAGATAAGAGAATAACATCCCATCACTACAGTAAAAGGCTCACTCATAGGCATGTAGCTATTCAGTCAGAAGTCTACACCATGTGAAAACTAAAAAATCAGCACAAGAATTTGTGGAAGCTTATTGAAGGATACGATTCAATATGAACTATGCATGCTATGCATTTAAATATAACACGCTTGGTGCTTCATCCTTTGAGCTATACATGCCAATACTCTTTATGAAGCTTTAATATAAATTTTGTTGTACACTGGCCTTCCAGTCCTTCACCCTTTGTTCAGCTCTTAGAGGCTGTTTGTTCATATTTTAGCTGCTCAGTCATGTGCCTCAGATGAGTATTTTGGGGGCACAGGAATGTTGGAGCAAGCAGAGGTCTGAGGTTCTCGTTGATGACATTTCATACAGTTCACCTAATGCACTTCAGATTGTACCAGAAGACAGGCAGCATATTGTGTCATGCAAGAGTCTCCAACCTTATTTATAGTGAGAGCTGCTTTTACAATGACTTCAGGGGAGCATCCAGTACTAGCAGTGCCAATGCACAGACTTTTTGAGGGGCTGGTGCGTGAATAGGAAGGATTGGCTTATGGTCATAATGATTGTGCCGGCCACACAGGTGATCATCGCTTATCAAAAGGGGGCACTTAGAACCTCGAGAGGGGCCACTTTCAAACATTTGAAAAAGCCCCACCCCCCTCCTGCCCACTCATGCCTGTGTACCATTGGCTGATCATAGTACAGTACTGTACATCCCAGTCAATGCTTTTGCGACAACTAGCCTAATGGCAGTAGGAGATTCTATGATTTCCTGCCTACCAAGTTCTCCTTCATCTCCATGCACACACACTCTCCCGGTGCTAATCCTGCGCCCCTGCAGAAGAGTGAAGCAGAGGCGCAGCTGTTTGTGGTGTTTGGAAAGAGGAGCCAGGGATCCCCCCTCCGGCGTACGTTCGTTCCATTTCCTGCCACAGAAGTTTCAGAAAGGGGGGGTTCATGTGTAAAGTGACCCCAGGCTGACTCTCTCGGGTCAGAACACTTAATGGTGTTTGACAATTTGTTTATGAAAATGTACCACACTAAATTAGAAAGCAACCAATGCTTAGAATTTGTTTTACAAATTGGCACAGTCCAAGTCTTCAATTTAATTACTGCTTTCACTCTCTGAAATATAGAAATACAGCAGAATACAAAACACTATTTTTGGTCAGATATACAACAATTTGAAAGGTGTATTTGAGTCTGTGGTCCCTAGAAAATGAGCTAAGATTAGAATTTGAAATCTGATTGAGTAAAATAAATATACAAATAATAATAAATGATGTAATGTCTGGGTACGTGTGAGAAAAATAACAGCAGACTAATGGTTTTTTGATGAAAAGAATCCCCAGGCCGCCTGAGGTAGTGGTAACACATTCAAGTTTTAGATTTAATGTGTGCTCTTCTAAGCTTTATGTATTCTGATATATTTATTTTATCATTCTAATTTAGCAGTCAGCAAAAAGTGTGGTGTCGTTCTTCTTAGGTAATAGCACATCATATATACCACAACCATTTACAAAAACGTGAAATGTTAAAGCAGGCGTTTTGTTCGTTTTGTTTACACCACTTTTTGTTGATCCTGTCCCAACTTTTTTGAAATGTGTTGCTGGCATCAAATTCAAACTGAACATATTTGATATATGTTATCTTTGTTCGATTTTCAATTAAATATGGTTTATATGATCTGTTTAAATGTGTAAATTTTATATTACAATTCCATAAAAACTGTTATTTTGATGTTTTGGGGACCATTTTTCAGGTTCACACAAAGATCTGTGAATGCAATCAAAAAATGAAAAATGCCAAAAGCCTCATATTTTGTTTGGTTACTTATGGTTAAGGTTAAGGCTGGGTAGGGGTCAAGGTCGTCATGTCGGGATCAGAGTTCTCCCAATACAAATGAATTCAGAGTCTCCACAAAAATATAATTACAAATCTGTGTGTGTGTGTGTGTGTGTGTTACCGCGTTGCATTGATTTTAAAGTCATAACTCCTCATTATTTCTTCAACGCGTGCCGTATTTTGTCATCCAAAACAGAGAATAATATGAGCATAAATTTAAATAGAGCCTTATAATATTCCTTCCTGAGACATGACAGTTTGGGTTCAAAGTTAAAATCAAAACATTCAGGGTATTTCTGGTGTTTCTCAATACCAAAAACTCAAAGATTGTAACTTGTGTTCTTGGCAAGACCATTCTTGCTAACTTGTCTCCCAAGAACAAATTTGGGGTGCAATGAATCATGGGATTGGTCTCATTTGGTGAGGATGCTGAGTAAACTATGGGTTTGAGTCACACATGCTCTGCCTCTCTCAGTCAACCGTGTTAGACTATTAAAATATTAAGCTATTCAAGTAATAAAGGACTTTAGACCATCTGCCAAACCTGCACCCTTACCAGTTACAGAAAGTTAAGGCTCATGTCATGTATTTGCATAAATTTTCATAAAATGGCTGATTACCTTTAATTATCTGTATTGACACTGGCAAAGTCCCTCACGGGAAATGGACATATGTGTTCTTATTGTATGTAGCTTGCTTTAGTTAGTTTTCATTTTTAGCTGTTTTTTTAGTTAGTTAGTTTTTCGTTGTTTTGTATTTGGTTTCAACGCTGGTACACGTTTGACTCACATCCACGGTTGACAAAGGGTGTTTCTCAAAATGCGTACTTGACCATACCTCTGTTCTTGCGTACCTGTTTTATGTCAATTTTCACTGTGGAAGACCTGTTCCAATACTCAGGAACAGAAGTACAGGGGACAGTAAAATCCCCGAATGTCGTTCTTGCCCCAAATATCACACCTTACATCACTTGCATTCTCTCCAAACGAGACCAATTCCATGAGTCTTTGTGCCCTTTTGCGGGAGGCAAGTTGGCAAAACCAGTCTTTGCAAGACCACAAGTATTGGCATCATGAAATAACCAAAGATCTCACATTCTTGATATTTGGGAATGACATCCGGTGGTTTTTAACGTCCTCTGTAAAAAAAAAAAAACCCTCTTGGGTGAGAATTGTCTTTCAATTGAAAGCCAAAACACAAGTAAAAGATATTTGTGTTTCCAGGGAGAAAACAACATTAGGAAGAAAGTGAGAACAGAACCATAACGAGAAGCGCAATCAGTACAAATGTTACTTTAATACAGCCGCGGAAAAAATTAAGAGACTACTCTATATTTTTAAACAAATCTGCATTTGTAATTCTGATTTAATCGTGGTTCTGCTGGCAGAGGCTACGTTGAGCAGCAATTTGCGTCCAGGTTCAAAGTTTCTAAGACAGCAGTACTCAAGAATAACGTGAAGCAGGAGACACAGGGAACAACCAGAAACCAGCCAGGTAGAGGGCAGAAGTGACTTTCTAATGCCAGAGATGACCATCAACTTATCCGACAGTTTCTCATGAATTGAATGTTGACATCAAGTGACCTTCAAAAGGAATGGTAAACATTAAATGCAGGTGCGAAGTGCACTGCTAAGATGGTTTGTTTCAGGCTCCTGGAAGCAGGACTGAAGTCCCATAAAGCAAGGAAGAAGCCCTTCATTAATAAGTAGGGGAGAGCCAGCCTGGAGTTTGCAAAAAATATATATATTATTCATAGTCACACACTCATAAATTGAGAAATAAGTAAAGCAGAAACTTGTGCTGAGGTCTCTTTGTTTCCACAGCTGTACATATCATAGTTTTGTCATGGATTTATGTCTGAATGTTTGGCTCTGAGCTTGTGAATTTAGCTTGTCATCATATCACCAATTCACCAGTTGTAGATGGGTGTTAGAATATGTTAACATATGTAGATGTTATCAGTGGAGAATTACAGATGTTGTTAAAATAGATGTTATTTAGAAAAGGCAGCCAAGTGGTTGTATTAGGAACAGCTACAGGATATTATTTCTTTCTGAGTCCAGGATGTTCTATCACAGCCAAAGTTTCTGAGTGTGGTGAAGACTTTCCTCAGTCTGAGATGAGTGCTTGTGTACGTGACACAGAAAGACAAAGAGAGAGGGGGAACTTTTTTGTACGGGTGTGTGAATCTGACCTGAAGTGTAAGAATTAAAGAACAGTCGTCTTGTTTTTAAGCTGAAGGGTGTTGAAGGGACAGACATTAGGGAAGCGTTTCCATAGTTCTGGTCAAAGGGCACGAAACACTGGCTCTTGTGTCTGTCTTAATGTGCTTGGGTTTGTTATGAGTAAAACCTGAGCACTTCAGGCCAGGTTTGCTAATAGGGTCTTAAATCAAAATGGCCTTATTTTTAAGGTCCAAAGGTAAAAAAAGATAAATAAATAAACAAAACAACAAAGCTACAAATTGCTTGGGCAATGCCCGTTATGAAAATTGCTTCTTGCAGAAAAACTACTTCCTCTCTGGCTGCATAATAGGTCCTTTCCCATGGTATTGCAATTATGCTATTTCATCATGCAGAAGTATTTCATGGTAGTCTCCATGGGGACATGAGTATGAATTGGTGAAATTGTCACTGTTGTGTTCCTTGTGCCATAGGTGCCAGTGCCCTTCGCAGTTTGAGGGCCCTGAGTGCCAGCAGACCAAGCGCAGTTTCCATGGCAACGGGTATGCTTGGTTTCCTCCCATAATGCTGTGCTTTGAGAGCCACGTCTCCCTGGATTTCATCACTGAGGTTGCAGATGGCCTGCTACTCTACAGCGGGCCAGTGGCCCAGCTACAACCATGGGAACCGGAGGACTTCATGGCAATAGGTACAGTTCCATACTTGCCTTGAGGAACTTATAACGTCATGAGAAACAGGTGAAATGGAGAATGAATAAATGACCCGCAGTGCACCAGTTGGGCGCTTATTAGCTCAATAAAAGCTGATGGAAGACTTTGCATCCTGGAAGGCGGGGGGTGGGGGGGTTCTTGCTGCCAAAGACTCAGTGGAAGTGCGATTTGTCAAAGGGGACCCAGATCTTACATAATCTAGCCATTGGAGTGTAATTATCGAGGGCTGCTACATGCATACTGGGAAACTTTTTTTTCTAACACTTTTTTCAGTGATAGTATATTTATAACAAGATGCTATTGCTAAGTACAAACACTTGATTCATGGAATCTCAGTTCAGGGAATGCAGCACTCATTCTACAGGATGTCACACATCACTCTTGTGTGCCTTGCACCCTTGCAGTTGTGAAATCTGGAAATCTCAGTGGGCTTAGTGAACAGAGTTCTGCCTGAGCACGTATCAGATAATTGCGAGGCCTGGAAAGGCAAAATCAAAGCATTCTGGTCTGAGGAGGTTTCCAGCAGCTCTGTGTTAAATAAGGGGCAAAAGGTCCAGTAAATGTTTCCTGACAAAGTAGCAAACTTTTCTGCTGTTCTGATTTCCTATATTCGTCATCTTTTACACACCCAAACATGTGTCTTGCACTAAAGCCATTGTGCTGTCATACAAACCTCTTCTAACAGATCATTTTTGTCTTAGGATCTATGAATTAAAAGCGACAGCCAGAGATCTGTGATTGGTTTAAGGTTCTAAGTTTTTATAGTATGTGCCGTAGTTAGCCAACTAAAGCAGATAAGTCCTTTGGTGCAGTCTAAATTAAATTCACAATGGGATCTTGTTGGACAGCTTGTCGAATTTTCTTTGGTACAGTATGCCATACTCTTTGAATACTGGTTGAATACTGTTGAGGATAAAAGATTGTTTTTCCACGAATCACTCTGCAGTTGGTTTTCTCAAAAGTGCAACACACCAACACATAAATTTACTGATTTTCTTTTCTTTATGTTCCTCAGAACTGATCTTTGTCTCCTGAAGTGTGATGTGACTGATCTCACAGGCAAACCCCACATCTCACAATCACATAATGATTAATACGACCAAATGTGCCTCACATTTTGATCTCACATGTGTAGTGCTGTTTGTTAAAAAAAAAAAAAAAGGAATTTCCTGGAGAATTATAAAAGAGGCTTGCTCAGGCCAGATATGATCTCTGTGTTGCAGACATACAGTACTGAAGTTGCCTGTTTGTTATTTTGTTCATTAAAAGCTCTCTTTAAACCATAGTTCCATCTTCATTTCATTAAATATCAAGGAGAGGAATGTTGCATGTCTTACAGCAACATAGGGTTTAAAATCCCCACTTTCCTCTCCATCCCGGGGATTTTTGTTACTGATGTCAAAGACGGTTATGCACAGGGTATAAATATGTTATCATGGAGATCCAGGATTAAAGCCGGGCGAATGTAAACCTGATTATGTATCACCTTTTATCTTCTCAAAATGCATTAACAAAGAGGGGTATAATGCTTGTCTGTATGTCTCCAAGGCCACCACCTGACATTTCTGTTTACATTAATATTAATTAGGCGGTAAGCGGCTTGCTGACGCGATAACCTATTTCATAATCTCTCAGTTAATTGTGTTCGTCAGTCCTGACTGGAAGCACTGTGAACCCAGATGACATGGTCAACTAAGGCAGTTTTCTCTTCGGTGTGACGGAATGCTTTGGTCTCAAATGAAAGAGCTTTCCTAGATAAATATACTGCTTTGCATGCATTTTTTTATATTTTGGGATTCTTCAGCCTTTGCCATTCTCAGTGCTCAGTGTTAGGACCAAGATGGTCTGATACTTTGCAGAGATTAGCAAACAGTGAAATTTCTACTTGTCTTGGGTAGAGAGGAAAAACAGATATAGGTGGTATGTGAATGGAGTGCTGGTTATATCAGCCCAAACAAATGTGTTTCAAAAGACATATTTTTAGCTACTCTTAGTTTGGTTTCCACGTGTTGAACGGTGGTTTGTCTGAACTGATGACTTTGTGGCAGGTGTCAATCCACATGTTTTATGTACATATAACCAGTAACAGGATCTTTAACTGAATAGAGGAAGGTTAAAGTAAAAAGTACATTTAAACACGTGCGACTCTTTAAACTTTGGTTTTTATTTGCCAGTGAACGTTGACATATTCTCATTGACGTGAGGAGCCATCTGAAAATGTGTTTGTGTGTCAGAGATCGTTGATGGAGCTCCCACTCTGAAGATTAACCACGGCTCCGGCACGCTGGTCTTACGGTTGCCTGGCAACGTCAACACAGCAGACAGACGGTGGCACCGGTTGGATGTGAGGAGTAATGGCAAGGTGAGTGTTTCTGTGGCAACTTGACCGTGACACTATCTGACGAGTTTCCCTCTCTGACACCTGTTGAGTTTAAAAAAAGTTCATTTTTATTGCACATTGTACTATCAACTCTTGAGTTCCTTCTGGTAAAAAATACAACAGGGACGTTTGACTGCATGTCTGTCCTGTCAGAATTGAGACCTGTGGAACTGCAGTAGTGAGAGGCACATTGAGCTCATGACCTCCTAAGTCCCTCCGCTTCTTACTGCTCAGGAGATACGCTTCACTCTGGACCGATGCTCCTCTGCTGTTGTCATGGAAATGGAGGGTATTGGGAGCTGGATTACAACCAGGGAACATTCTTGTGAGGTTACTGGAGTTACACCCAACCGAGACAGGTTCAGTATCCACATTTCATCCTGAATTTTCCAACTTACCTGCCTACTGCATGTCAGTTACTGATCTTCTGTGTTGGACATTCCAGGTCCAGAAGCTACAAATCCAGACCAAGATTTAGTTTCTACCAACCAGTTGAATACTCTGTGATTCTTTAACCTGAACTGGTTGGTAGAAACAAAATCTTGGTCTGAACCTTTAGCTGACATATAGTTTTGTTTATTTTAGAACACAGTGATTGTTCTTCTTAGTAATTAGTGGATGATTGGCTGAGTCCTATATCTATTGATGTTTCATTATTAGATACCTGAATATGACCCAGGTTTTGCAGCTGGGAGGCGTCAATGAAAACCTGCCATACATCTACCCTCAGTTACAGCACAAACACTTCTCCGGCTGCATCCGGAATCTCCTCGTGGACAGCAAGGTACTGAACGTCGCCAATCACCCAGTAAAGCATGATTTTTTTTCCCCCAGTATCCTCTTGATTTCAGCCAGATTCCCAAAACCTGACAGCCTTCTTAATGCAAGGTTTGTCTATAGTTACTAGATCAAAGTTATCTGACCTGAAACAACCTAGATATCCAATCAGAATGACAGCCTTCAACACATTTACTTTGCTTGATCATTTCTCTGCTTGCTCAGAAGCATGACATCGGCAACAAAAAGAATTTGACTCAAAAATGTTCTCCCAATTAACCTGCTTGTCAGAAACTGTTTTGACGTGATGGAAAATTGGGTGGCCAGCACTGGCTGATAGAGATTTTGCTGTTTCGAAATTACCCTCCGCAAAATGAAGAATTAAATTTTATTATTAGTGCTGGCACCTATCTGCAAGCTTATTGTGTCACAAACTGTTGCTCGAGTGGGTTTGAGAGCTGTCAGTACATTTAAGCTCAACTCAGGCATTAGCAGATGCAAATGAGTCACTGGGGAGATATTAACATCTCCCTGACACCTGTTGTAAACTAACTTGGAGGAATTGGCAGAATGTGGTTATGCCAATCTGAAAGGCCACTTAGAAATGTGAATAGAGCCAGTGTCCCCTCGAGGTTGGGTGTGCTTTTTGCGTATGAAGGTTTTCAGTACCTCATTCTTTGCTATCATAAAACTCAAGTCAAATTGTTTAGTGCTAATTGAAGGACTGTTGTAAATACTAGTGAAAGACAGTGTAATAAAAATAAAAACAAATAATCATTTATCGTGAACTAAAGCTGGTTTGTAGTTTGTCGCACAGGTTGCAGTTGAGGGCTTGATGCTAGGGTTGCCACCTCAGTCCTGTCAGATCCTGGGCACCCAGTCACTGACCAAAAATATTGCACATAGTGATACCAGTACAATTGTTTGTTTAGGTCTGTCTGATAGGGAAATTGATTGGGGCATTCTGTGTCCCGGAATGAAATTCCAGGACGGATGAGCATAATCGGCCGTGGTCCTGGGAAAATCCTGGATGGGTTACCCTACTTGTTCCTCATGTTCTCCTGTCTTTCTGTCTCTCTACCTGTATGCTGCTGTTCCTCAGTTCTATGATCTAGGCTCTCCTGCAGACTCCCTCAACAGCTCCCCTGGCTGTCAGGTGACGGATGGGCACTGTGTGAACATGGGCAGCCCCTCCTGTGGACCCCGAGGGAGGTGTCTAGGAGATTGGGGCTCCTTCAACTGCCAGTGTGCACCTGGCTACTATGGGCACCAGTGCCAGCAGGGTAGGTAACACAAATCCAGAGAAACAGCCGGTCTGATGTTTATTTTGGTCATGATCCCTGGTGCAATTGGAGGAAAAAGAACTAAGATTCTGTCCCTGTAGGTCAATGAGTGAATGTTTTCATAATGTAACTGACTTTATAAAATCAGCGTGATTTTTGTCTAATAATGACAAACTGAAATTTATTATAAAGGTAAAAAATTCAACTAAATACCATGGTCTAAGGTGACCTGCATTCTTTTCACCGCACTGTATGTTCTGTACTGTTTCTTCTTGTGCCATCAAGATAATTAGGAGCTAAAGATGGGGGCACAGTTACCTATTTAACACCAATAGCCCATCTCCAATAAAGAGGGATGAATGTTGTAAAGGAAGTAATGGAATAACTATATTAAATAATTAATGAAAGTCTTTGTTGAAATTCAAAGTGCATATTTAATTTGTTGTACAAGCTGATGTAATTTTGAAGTTTTGGCCAAGTGTGTATATCCCCGTTTAGAATAGTTGTTTAAATATGACATTTATGCAAAATAAATAGGGCTTAATACTGTTTTAGTAGGCATGTCTTTGAAAATGTGCAGGCCTACCTCTGTGTGGCACGTTCTTTGATGATGCATGAGAATTGCAGCCTTATCAGAGGGCAAGGCTACACAGAACGTTTGCTCTTTAGAATGTTCTGGAGTAAAGTTGAAAGAACATGCAGTTAGCAAGCAACTGATAGTAATATGCAAAGTGTATGGATATTTTAATTGGTCTGCCCAAGGTTAACAGCAACGAATAGCAGTAGACCTAGGTTTCCCTCCTGTTAGAAATCCACCAGTGCAGAATTTTTTAATTTGTTGTTATTGATGTTTACTAGTTCAGCTATCTCAGCCGAATAAAGCTTATTTTGTTTTCATAATAAATCAAGTTATCTTAGTATAATGTTTCCAGCTGATGTATGGACATGTGATTTCACCCAATTCCCAGTGAGCATTTCGCCATCACCTAGTCAAGATTTAAACCTTTCTTCCTATCAAGAACTCAGATTCAGTACTGATATTTACGCATCAATAGACAGAGCACAATTAGATTACGTGACATGAATGTTAACTGTGAGATCAGAGAATTACCGGCGACTGGAAGAGTGTACAAACGCTCCTTATAGACGCCCAGTACAAAACTGAGAAGAAAAAGAAGCAGATGGGTGATTTTTATACGTGTGGCTTGGGGGTATTGTATGATTCTGCAGGGTAGGGCTTATGAACAGAAGGTTGCAGGTTCAAATCCCGGGGCTGGCAGAGTGATGCCAACGTTTAGCCCTTGGGCAAGACCCTTAAACCCAGTTGCTCCAGGGGTGCTGCATGCTTGCTGACCTTGTGCTCACACCGCAATGCAGTGCATGAAGTGGGCTCTTCAGAGTGCCAAGAAGAGTTTCCTGTGTACTGGCACCTCTCATAATCTACCGGTACTGAATAACAAGGCACCTATTTTTTTACACTTCAAGTATTGTCTCACCTTTTTATACATCTGCGTGCCTCATGGAGATTAAGATGGGGTGAATAATTCTCTTTCTAATGGGCAGTTCCTTGCTCATGGGATGTGTGCTTGGAAACACCGGAAGTGGTCTGATCACAGAGACATTAACATTCTGCTTCAGATTGTTGATCTGAAGTTCTTGATTGAAACTTATAGAGGTTCCAGAATATTCCTTTGATGGCCGGAGTCATGCCCACTTGCATACGACGTCCTTGTTCCTGGCTCGTCAAACTCACGTAGAAGTTCTACTGCGAACCAGGACCCATGGTGGCATCATAGTTAGCCTGGTCTCTGAGGAAAGGACTGAATACCTAAGATTGGAGGTGAGTCAGGTCGTTTATTACTCTATTTACATCTTAACAGTAATACAATTACATGTATCAGCAATGATATGATATGATGTGATGTGATATGATACTTTGTCAGACATGAGTATCATATTTTTCATGCATTACAGTAGCTCTATATGCGAAATCCTACAAAAAAAGACTTAAAGACACAATACATATATTTAACATATCATCACAAGGACAGATTCAATATACATTTAATCTTGAATTAAGTTCCATGTTTAGTTTTAGGATTGACTGATTCACAAAAGAGTGCTCCAGTCTAACCTCATTAAATCCTGGATCTCTGAATCTCTGGTTTGATGGTAACAATTCACTGGGTTGGGAGCCAAAACATTTTTGTTGGCCAGCCTTAATATGTCAGTATGCTGCACTGATTCACAGAGTCATGTTGCTGTTTCTGCTAGCAGCATTGATGCTTGCATAGGTTTTGCAAGAAAAAAAACCTCATCTAACAGAACCAATAGAACAGATTACTAGGGCTAGATATTAGCTTTTAACAATGAGGTCCCCAACGCTCTCATCTAAGTACCAACAGCTGCCAACCTACAGGCATCACGTTCAAGAATCCACACCATAATGAACTTAATTTGTTAATATCCAGAATAAGCCTCAGTATGTTTAATTTGATGGGCTGAGGTTTTTCTCAGGGGAAGAATCAATCAAACTTTATATGAGTTCAGTTTCATTGCCTATCACAGTCTTTCCTGAGTGGTGTGACTTCTGGGACACCTACTGATTGGCCAGTGAAGCTGTTAATGAAATTGCTTCTGATTTATGCTCAATTTGTGTTCATTAGTACTGTCTTGCTGTAATTGAGAGTTCCCATGTGGATATAGCATTTCAGTACTGGAAGAACTTATAATAACTTATAATTGTAATAACCTTGCTTTTAAGTGTGTTATTCAGTTTCTTATTTCAGTTGCTGTAAAAATAGTAAAAAAAAATTTAAAAAAAAGTTTTTTTTATCTAGCGGCTCAGTGGAAGAGCCTGCGATGCATTTCACAGGAATTAGTCTTTATTTACCATCTACTTTTCTCCAAATCTGTCCCTGTGCGTTCCCTCTCACTGGCACAAAGTATGAGTTGGACGTCATGTAGTGTCTTCGCGGCTCATCCACATACTTCATGGTTCATCCATAGAAACATCTTCAGCCAGAGCTAACAGCTCCAAACAGACCCTGACAAGGAACTTCCGTAAGCTGTAATATTTTCCAAAATGCGCTCAGGCTAACTCTTTCCCTGAACACACTGATTTCAGCTTATCAGCGTGAGAATGCCTGTTCCTTTTTGTGTTAGGCAGAAAGCCCCATTGTGAGGCTTCTAATAGTAGTTCTAGGCACTCAACCCATTTAGCAATTTACCCTTCATTTTGCCCATTTTTGCTTAGCTAGAGCTTAATCATTTTTTTCATTTGTAACCTTTTTTTTCCTGATTTAATGTAACGTATTTATAAATCAATTATATTTGTTTCTCAAAGAAAGAGCCTCCTCTTTAAGAGACAGTCCTCTTATTTTTTTTCTTAAGTGCTTTGTTGCTTCCTGTTTTTCTCCCGTGTTTTTATTTGTGGGTAAGCAGACCCCCATCTCCCGTAAGATCTGCTTTAAAGCAAGCTGCCGGAACACTGACTCACTGCTGAACACTCTTTTTGGGGCGTCGAGGCAGCAGCCACCGTCAAAGGGCTGTCAGCCCCTCTTTCTGTATAGCACTGCAATCTTCACTCTTAGGCATGGGCTGGGTTAACTCCTCAGTGACAGTAGGGTAGGATGATGCCTGCAGATAGCCATGAAAGGGCTTCAAGCATGAGTGGAAAAATGCAAATTAGAATTGCAGAACGCAAAGCAAGCTCTATGGTTAGTTACACGATGCTACATAGCATTAGTGCTTCTCTGCATTTTCAGCTATACAACCTGTCACTTGCTTAGCAATGTAAGGCGACATGTGGTCAAGGGTGAACGAGACATGTTTTCATATTAGCTTTTGCTTCATATTAGCTTTTGCTTGAGACAGCTAGGAAAATAGTGGAATTGTTTCACCCTCATCTCCAATGAGCCTGGATTTATAACTGCTGATAACAGGCTACTCTTGAAGCCTGCTTTAGTATGATAAGGATCAGGGGCCTGTATCACGAAGCAAAATTTGTTGCTTAGCTAGATAACTTGTCAGATTTAAGAAACCCCAGTTCAAATGGACTTTATACCTTATATAGGACAAGTTATCTTGCTAACCCAAAAATCTCACTTTACGGGCCCCTGCTGACCATAAGAAGCAAATGAAGTAATAAAAATGCTAATTATTATTAATATTATTATGTAAAGCATTGTCTATTATTCCAGTCTTCTTCAAAACTCAACAACGCTAACAATATTCAATAACACAGGACACGAAGAGGGAGTACTGGCCACAGGAACTGATAGCTACAAAAAGCACACAGTGATGAGTGATACACTAGGGTGAAGGGAAGCACAAAGGGATCGAAATGAAGAAGGTGAAGTAGAAGGATCTAGAAAGTGTGGAAAAATGAGATTTTGAAAAGTGGGAGAGTGAGTAAGGGAGTTATGAATGTCAGAGGGAAGAAAATCCCAAAGACGAGGGGCCACCTTAGAGAAAGTGCTGGAGTTTACAAAGAGGAACAGTGCAGAGACCAGAAGAGGAAGATCTAAGAGTATATGGGGGCTGAAAGGGCATGAGAAGTTCAGACAGGTAGGGGAAAGCAAGATTGTTCTGGACCTTATAGGTGAAGAGAAGAATTTTGAAGCTGAGGCAAAAATTCCTAGGGAACCACCACAGGTCATGGAGAAAAACAGAAGTACATAGGTAGGTTCAGGTATTCGTGAGCTGTCGAGCTGCAGAGTTATATTCCAGTTGGAGCTTGAAGCTTGAGTGGGAATTTTGGAGCTGATGCCAATCAGGAAGGAGTTTCAATAATCGAGGCAGCTGAAAATGATGGCATGGATGAGGGATTTAGTAGCAGATTGGGAGACGTAGGGTAGGGTCTGAAGCAGGCAGCGTTACCATGGTGGAAAAGCGAGGTTTTCCTGATGGATAAAACATGACTTTCCCACATGAGAGAAAGGTCTGGAATTTCACTGAGGCTGCAAACTGTAAAGGACTGAAGAACTGCTGTGCCATCAATGAGTAGTTGAAGCGACTGAGGATAAACTCAGTCATGTCGTTGTTCAGCTTGAGGAGATATGACATCCAGGATTCGATTGCAGATAAGAATGCTTCGTTTTGGGACAGGGTGGAGAATGGATCGATTCAGTGCTCAGGTAAATCTGGGTCTCATCACCATAATGGAAGTTGGTGTTGAACTGTCTAAATACAGCTGACTGGGTCAATGTATAAAATGAAGAGCAGCGGCCTGAAAACTGTGCCTTGGGGGATCCCATGAATGACTGCCGAAGAGGAAGATGATTACCTTGACATGAAACGTTTCCTGTCTGTCAGGTAGGATGAGAACCGGTCTGGTAACAGATTACGGAGACTTGAATGGCGGATGCTGTGGTAGATGCTGTGGTACACTGTGTTTAGGATCGGTGTGACAGTAGCAGTCTTGAAGATGGAGAGTACTAATCCAAGAGAGAGGACAGTCAGATGAAAGCAGACAGCAGTCTGGCAGGTCTTAGACAAGTTAGATGGAAGGGAATCCAAAGAGCTGGTAATAGTCTTAGAAGCACTGATTTTATCAGAAAGTTGAGAGGAGTCCAGGGCTGTGAAGAGAAAGATCTGACTTGGGGAGAGGGGGCAGTTGGAGACAGGCAGTGAGATCAGGGGTGAGGGGAGAGGAGCAGTAGTTGCGGTCAGAGAGCTGTGAAGAGTAGAAATTTTGTCCTGAAAATCTAGGTAGGATAGTTAGATGGGGGGTTTTAGCGGTTTTTTAAAAGTAGAGAAAAGAGTATGAGGGTTTCTGTTTGTGCCATTGATGATAATGGAATAATAGGCAGTTCTGGCAGTGCAAGAGGTGCCTTTGAAAGGGCGGCCTTGTAGCACTCAGCATGGGCTGCAAGCTTAGTTTTCTTAAATTGGCTCTCCGGCCAATAACCAGTCTTTCATGGAATGGAGCTCAGGTACATATCAGGGGGAGGAAGAGGTAAAAAAACAAACCAAGTACAGGATTTTGGAGATGATAGTGTTTTATCGGTATAGTGTTTAATTCAGAGGCTAACATTTCAGGAGAGGCAGTGACAGCGTGAGAAGACAGAGCCAAGGATATAGACTGAGTTACAGCAAGTGGAACAATAGATTTGTTATGGAAAAAGATATTAAATTGATGGAGTAAAGGAAGGGAGACAGAATAGAAGAGTCGAATGGTCATACAGAGGAACAGTCAGTGGTCTAAGATACTCAGCAGGCATACAGACAGAGCAGACCAGGTCAAGGGTGTGACTTTTGAGGTAAGTGAGAAAGCTAACAGTGGTGAAAACAATCAAGCGGGTCGAGAGAATCAGTAGTCATGGTACAGTTAGTTCAATAGTGCAAAATCGATCAAATGTTATTTATTCAGAAGCTGACCAAAGCTCTGAATAAGGTCTGGGTGGTCAGAAAGCTCCATAACTCCATATATTGCTTAGCTGACTAGTAACCAGTAACCAAATCCAGCAAGAATGAGAAGTAGAGGAGATGGCAACCCAGCCTGAAGAGCGAGTGGAGACTGGCTCTGACGGAGTTAAGTCCAAAGAGTTATGTCAACGGAAGCAGCGAGACGGTACAAGTGGGGTAACAACTTTGCAGGTTGGTGGAGGGAGAAGTACAAGCTACAGTATCAGCAGCAGAGAGGACTACAGACACGGGCAGAGCCTTCAGACAGCAGGCAGGAGAAGTAGATCAGCGAGTGGCAAATAAAAACTGGAGAATCAAAAAGAGCCAGAAAAACTACAGAACGGGAACAGAACGTTTAAACAACCTAAATGCTAGAAAAGGCGTCGAGTATCAGGACGTCAGCAGTGATCTCCCGATAGTGACATCAGTGCACAAACTAAGCCTGTGTAAGCCTAAGCTAATGGTTCATTAGGAGGCCTCAAAAAAGACCACACTTGCTAAAAAAATATCCCTTAGGGCAATCTTAAGAAATTTGCTAATACAATTTCTCATATAGTTTAAGCAGATAATAGGGAGGTCGAACAGAAGGGGGTGAATTAGAAGATCTTATTTGTAGGCTTTACCCAAGCTTCATGTGAGAAATATGTGCCGATGACAGACGATCTAACGCTATTATTTACTTTCACTGAAATAATGCAGAAGTTTACAAATTATGCTCAGAGGGACTTTTTAAGTGCATCTGAAATTGAAATGAAGGCTTCGTCAGCTTTTCAGGAATGGCAGAGATATGAACATATTCTCATCCCTTCTGTTCATTTTCTTTTCTTCTGCTTTGATTGTCGGTGCAGGATTAATGTTTCTCACTGAAAGTCAAATGATTTGGTTCAGGACCAGTTAAGACACGTTCATTTCCCCCAAAAATCCAGGGAGGCAAAAAAGGCTAAAGTTTTTAGTCTATAAGGTTTTTTATGCGTTCTAATGCTATGTAATTAAGAAGTGGAAGCTTCTGCAGAATGTTGCAGAAAAGTTTGTTGTTAAATTGTTTTCCCAATCAAACTGGAGGCAGAATCAGTGTAGCTCATTGTATTCTGATCAAGACAGTGGCAAGCAGAATGATGGTGAATAGCGGTTCTAACTCCAAATAGACATCAGTGCCAAGGGTCCCAAAACTGAAACAAGTTGCTCAGTAAATAAATTCCGTGTTGAATAATCCTGTGCCAATGTTTCTAATGAAATTGACAGTACTGTATGTTTAATTCTTTAGAGTAGCTGCTTGTCAAATCCAGCTCCAAGTATTACAAAGTTCTCAGAGGAACAGTGGCATTGACCCAAAGCCCTGAGGCACCATATTTGCCGCATTCTGCAGGTCTTCCAGGGTTCCTTGGCCGTCTTCTACAACCTTGGAGATGGGGACTACAGCCTGGTGCTGCCTGCCTGCCGCTTGGACAATGGGGAGTGGCACGAGGTCCAGCTGGAGCGCTACGACAACGAGCTGACCCTGAGGCAGAATGGCGGCGGAGGGAGAAGAGAGGTGACAGCTTCCCCTGGGAGAAGCCGGGAGATCGTCATCGATCCTGCTGCAGTGATGATTGGCAGCTCCTTTGTCATCACCAACCGAAGCTTCCAAGGTACTACCACTAAGCCATGGCTGAGATGGACCTGAAAAACAAGGTGAAGTTTGACCTGTGTCATGCTCTCCTTCCAGGATGCATGCGAGACCTAAGGCTGAACCATCAATACATACCTCTGGATGGTCAGAAGAAGGAGCTGGCTTCTCTGCTCAGCTCTGAGGGGGTGTCCGTGGGCTGCTTCTCTGACTCCTGCCGAAGTAACCAGTGCAATCCCCCCTTTACCTGCGTTGATCTCTGGAGGGTTCACGAGTGCAGGTAAGCCAGGCCACCTCTGAGACTTCATCCTGAGCCATTCACCAGCACTGTCGGCTCGCGTGGGCTGACTCCAGCACAGTTTCTTAAAAAGACTCCATCCTGTGAAGCTCGGCTTTGTCGGTGTGTGGGCAGGTCCTTTAAATTCTCCTGAGGCAGGAGTTTTCACCTTGCTCTGTGACCCTCCTTAAGAGCATATTTCACAATTTCCAATGGCCTGTTCTGTCACCCTAACGCCTCAAATTAGGGTTAGGGTTACGGTTAGCCAACTGAAGCTAGGGTAAGGGTTAGAAAAGTTCAGGCATCAAAACCTATTTTTATGATTGTTTGGGGCCCCCTTATAACGGGAAACCACAGGTTAGCTTGATTTAAGGAGTCTAATTTGTACAGCTAGTGTAAACTAAAATGGGGTCATTGCATTTAAAATGCATATTGGATAAATGAGCCGCTCATTCTCTTGACCATTCCTGCATCACTGCCAGAACTACAGTACTGTGGACTTGTAGTCTTGGGTCACTAGGTTGACTGTCTACAACAAGCTCCGGGGGGCAGATTAATGCCTGACCATGTGCTCTGACCTCAGACTTCACTCTCACCTCTATATGTGTGTGTGTGTGTCCCAGGAGAACAACATGTCATATGCAAAGCCTGAATTTCATTGTACTTTCTATCTGAGCAATTGCAATAAAGGAATTCTATTCTGTTCTGAAATATAATGGTATAAAATATAAGCATTTACTTCAGTGTAATAAAATTCCTTTGTTTTGTGGGACCAGTATTGTATCAGTGCAAAAGAACATCAAATGTGTTATTCCAGTTTGCTCTTCAGTAAAAATAGTAATTGATAGTTGGTGTCATAACCCCAGGTGTCCCCCGAGTCACATGGTGAAGGAGAATGCCACGGGGAAGTTCTGTGTGTATACCCTGTGTGCCAGCCAGCCGTGCCACCGCGGCACCTGTGTGGCACAGACGCCCCTGCGCTTCAGCTGCCGCTGCCCTGAGGGATACCGGGGGCAGCACTGTGAGGTCGCTCTGGCCGCCTACCGCGATGACTTGGGTCTCAGCTTCAGCTCCATGTTTGCCATCTGCATTTGCTTCATGGCACTCCTGGGTAACTATATCTGCTCAATGCCATAATCTTGTTTCGGTTTCACCGTAGAAGCCCGTTTCCATGGGTGGCTCTTTGTTCCTAATGCCTCCCCATTGTTTCCCATCTGTCTTTTGTACTTATTGTTGCAGTATTACATTGCTTTTGATCTCTTAACTAGTTCCGTCGATTTTTTCAGAAAAAAATCTCATTTCTTCCCACCTAATATAAGTTCAGTGGTGATTTGACCTGGCTTGGGTGCCACATAATTTAAAAATAACGCTCCTGACTACGGGGATGTAAGAGTCGAATTACATTAGCTAGGAGTAAGACGTACATCTTGAACATGCAAGGTTCTTGACTGATGTAAGTAATCCCTTCCACAAACTCTTATGTAACTCAAATTTTACGTAAGTCGGATTTACTGCCCCCCCCCAGAACCATTCAAGACACCTTATTGCAAAAAACACGTAAGCCAAAAATATACTAGTAATATATACTAAAGAAAACATTAAGAGAAAAGATAAAGTATAAAGACATATATCATTATTTTGCATTAGCGCTTTCATAAAGCATGTATTTCCAGATATATGTAAGTAGAGAGCTGCCTGCAATCATATAATCATATTAAAATTACAGACTCTTTATTAAATTTAAGAGAATGTTAGTTAATCTCGTATACTCGAAGTAAGTAAATACGTTTCTTCTCCCAGTTTTTGTTCGTTCTCGGTTGGGTAAACTTGGTCTGTGAAATGACACTAATTGGTAATGAATTGGTAATGGTCTTGATTTAGACCCTTTTCTCCTAATTAACAGGTCTACTGGAGAAATGGCGGCCCTGCCATTGCCACACCTCCACCTTCACTTCCTGCTGAAAATATTTACACAACGACACCTCTTACTTATCTCTGCAAACACGCTTCCCTGGAACATGCATCTTACTGCCAATTTGCTGTAAACGCAAGAAAAACTTGAGACTGTTGCCATCATTCAGGAGAAAATTACGTATGAATTTCTTATCCAAAGTCCAAATAGACATGTGAGTTGTAAGGGGCCAGACAAGAGTGCTAGAACATGTCGAGATGTTTCTACTAATGTGCCACCTCTCTGGATGATCCCCCCCCCCCCCCCCCCAATGAAGCAAATCTCACACCCAGCTTCCAGACATGTCCTGTTCTTGCCACAGTACACCATGCATGTGGCCACGTAAACTTCATGTAATGTGAGCAGTCAGATTTCAGGGTTCTGAAGAGCGTGCAGCAGTACAGCTATATAAATCACCACGAGTCGACTTGTTTTCGTGTTGGTCGCACAGAATTTATGTGTTCTTCAGGTTTTCTGTGCTGCTCCTTTAAGCTGGATTTTTCAGGAAGTTGCACAAATTAAAATTATTTAAGAGCATGATTGCAACATTTAGAAAGAGCAAGAAAATGCGTGATTGCTATCTGAGCTAAAAGCACAAAAGTGTTCAACCAACTTTCATTTGTTTAACCCTCCTTCATTCCTACTTTTTCATCCCTCTATTTTCCTTTTTTTGTTGGGAAAATTTTGATGGAAAGACATGATCCACAAAGTTTTTGTGGATGCAATATCAAAAAGAGAAATACAAGCACACATTCCCCTTAATGTGTGGAACATTTGAGAGCTGGAACAGTTTCTTGGTAAAAAACTGTGGGAGGAGAAAAAAGGAATTAAATTCAATGGGAGAAAAATAGAGGGATGAAAAAGAAAGGATTAAGGAGGGTTAAATGGATGAAAGTTGGTTGAATACTTTTAAGCTGCACATTTGATGTCTTTAGCAAGAATGACTAAATGGGAGCAGTTCCCATACAAGTCTATGGGAAGGATTTGATGGAAGGAAGGATGAAAAAGAGGGATGTGACTGGAATATCAAAAAGAAAAATTCAAGCACATTTTTCCTTAATAGGTGGAAAATTTGAGAGGTGGAACGGATTTTCTAGGTGAAAAACTGTAGGAGGAGATAGGTGCCGATATTTTGGGAAGAAGAAAAAAAATGTGAGAGAACATAATGAATTGGGTACGGAGCCCCTTAGGTGTCATGGTAGAAAAAATATTATTTAGTTCCCTCGAATTACTAAATCGTACCCTCGATTTAGTAAATCGTACCCTCGAATTAGTAAAAAGTGCGCTCGAATTAGTAAATGGTACCCTTAAATTAGTAAATCGTACCCTCGAATTAGTAAAAAGTGCACTCGATTTAGTAAATGGTACCCTTAAATTAGTAAATCGTACCCTCAAATTAGTAATTCGTGCCCACAAATGATGTATTACTACCCTATTGATCATTCATGGACACGGGGTCATGGAGCGTTTCGATTTAATGCATTCCGGTGTCCGAAGAAATAACAAATATAACAATATGTCCTGGTTTTAACAGGTTGCCCATCTAACAAACTGTGATATTATACAGCAAGCATAATTCACTTGGCATAGAGTCAAACCACCAATTGTACAAAAGTAAAGCAACACCTTTATGCTTCAGACAGTGGTCAATCACAAAATGCAATGGCTTTGTAAAACAAAACAATAATGCACTATTTACTGTGAGTCTGTGAGAGGTGAGTCAGTTCTGATCTGTTTTGTCCATGACGTGTCCATTGTTCCCATCGGTTAATTCTAGGGCAAGGATCAGACGCAAGATGTGCTGCCAAATTTAGATGAAACAGTACTTATGATTCTGCAAATGCTTAAAAATTAATCAATACAATCTGTGGCTGATTTATCTTTTTTCTCAAGAGGAAAAATTAAAGTTTAAATATAAAACGTTCTCCAGAATGCTTTATGATTTATGCTAATTGACTAATGTAATGAACCATTGTAATGTTTTTTCAAACCAAAGAAATGTTAAATATTTCTCAGTATGTCTTTTGGTTTCATTGCCTTTATCTTTTAGTGTTTTGGGTTTATTGCCAGTCTGTTTTAAATGTACTTACCACACAATAATATATAAATGCACATTGTATATGATCAGTTCAATGCTATAGAAATATACATTTTTTACATGGTAACAACCTTTTTTAACATTATACGTTACATTTACATTTATTAGCAGTTGTACAAGCATGCAGCTGTCAATGATAACCAGGGATAAGTGTTGAGCTTCCAATGAATGAGCAGTGACAAGTTAGCATTGGAGCAACAGTTATGCAATATGTTGCATACAGTATATATTTTTATCAGAGACAAGTGCAAAAATATTAGTGCATCCAGTGTGTCCTACTAAAGCCCAGGTAAGGGATCAGAGATGAAGACAGGTTACTGGTTGAGTGCCTAGTTAAGGTGTTCCCAGATCAGATGGGTCTTGATGGTGGGGATACTGACAACTCGTTGTGGATGGGTAGCTTATTCCACAACTCAGGAACAATACACGAGAAAGAAACTCTTCACATCGTGGAGGGATCATCATGCGGCATTGACTTCCTGACCAATAAGGACGAGACTGCACGTAGGTCCTGATTAGTGACTTGATGGAGATGGATGCTGGTTGGACCTGAACTTGTTAGCAGTGCCTATATAAGGAACCTATGAAGAGAGACAAGAATGGGTATAACATAAGAACAAGAGAGAGATGCTGCTAAATTTTTAATCATCTGAAGAGGTTGGACAGTGCAAGCTGGTAGTACTGTCAGTATAGGAGGTGTTTGTCAGTAGGCTTGTTGTGAGATGAAAAGCAGCTGGAATAGGAGCTGAGCTGCATATTCTGACAAATAAGGTCTGATCTTCCTGTTCTACAGAACAAATCTACAGGAGCTATGTGGTCAGCAAGGGATAGCTGGTCATCTATTATTACCTCTAGGTTCCTCGTTCCTGGTAGAGATGTCATGGTGAATGGTAAGGCTGGCAGGAGAACGAGAAACTCAGTCTTAGAGAGATTCAGCTGGGGGGGATGGTCTCTTATCCAGGCTGTGATATCGGCAAGGAATGCAGAGCTCCGAGCAAAGACCGATGTCCTCACGACTGAAGGTCAGGCACAGCTGAATGGCAGTTTGATAGAACGTGGCCTTAGGTAGGTTACTTGTATATACAACATACAATATTCTGGACTGGATGGACTTCTATTGTTTATGCTATTTTTGTTGTTTAAATAAAACTTATTTACTTATTTACTCATTGAGTATTATATTTCAACAATATCTTATTCTTACTCATAAAAGGCGCCAAGATTGACCATCAAATGCTCAAAACCATGTTTTCATTCTTAGGGCACCTAAATTCATTGAATTCTTCCTTCATGGGGTCTCCAGTCCTCGAGTTGTCTCTTCACAATTCCCATGCCACTTTGGGTATGTTCCTGAACAGCTGCTGGACTTCTGCAGCAGGGTCCTCCCTGAACCGTGTGAAATACCAGGTCAATTCATGTCCAGGGGTCAAGTGTGAGATCTGCTCCCCTTTAAAAGTCTCGGCAACACTTTATTTAAAGCTCTTGCCTTTGTCATAGGTCATCATATTGATGATTTATAATATTTAATAAGCTCCAATGAAGCTCTCATCTCTAGTGCATTATAGATACCTTCATAATGCATTATAATGGCCCATGTAAGAATTAAGAATGCTTTGTACTGCATTATATCTACATATCTATAGTGCATTATAGATAAGAGCTTCATAAAGCATTCATAATGCATAATAAATGCATAATACAGTTTTACCAGAATCTCCATACTAGGATGATAGTGCTTCATGGGAAACAGTATGTGCCTGTTGTCTCAGTTCTAGTGTTTTCCATCAGTCTGTTGCTGAATCAGGTTTTAATTGGGGCTTTTGTTGTGTTTCTTTTTTAATGGGGAGCAATCCTCTGGGATGTAGACCATAATACCAATGAAGATGGTGCCTGCAATCAATACCGATTGTGTGTCTTCTCATTAGTTTTTACAGTTCATACTTTTACATGTGATTATACTGTATCCCCTAGTATAGGATCATGTTTTTATGGTTTATTACAGTGTGTGTGTGAATATAGTGTTTTTTTGTCTAGGTTCCTATAGGTTTATTATTTGCCTGAGTCGGTTTAACTGGACAAAGGGCCATAAAAAAGATGATTTGCTAAACATTGATCCAGCATTTGAAATGTTTGTGTGAGGGCAGTACAGGGAATTTCTGAGGGCAGTACAGGAAATTTCTGAGGGCAGTAAAGAGTGCTGGGAGTAATATTTTCAGTGCAAATTTTTGCCATTCACCATGTCAGTGATTCATGATTGATACTAGGCAGTAAGAGAGACTGTATTCCATTTCAGCACACAGAGCACAGGGACTTTCCTTAGTTTTTTTGTTGTGCACTCAACCAGAGGCATCATTCCAGTACCAATAGCAAAGCGAAAGACTCCCAATGAACAAGTCACATTTTCTGCCACAATAAAGAGCCAAAGGGGTTGGGTGTTTGCATCAGTGCATTTCTGTAGAGCAAATGCAGCATAACTGATGCCTCCTGTAAATGTGCATTGAGGGTGTTTTTTTCTCCAGCTGAAGAGATAGAATTGGTGAAATGATATTGATTCGTCCGTTTCGGACAGAGCCTTCACTTTGCCTGCCTTTGATTATTTGTATAGTATTTGAGAAAATGATTTTAGGTTCAAACCGATTTGGTTTATGGATAGAAGGTGTGATAGTCGTATTTATATTATTTATTTATTGTAGACTCCCATCCCTAGATGAACAGAATCCTGGCAGTTAGTCAGTCGGATATCACCAGCCAAAAACTGTATTAATACAGTACAATGAACATCCAGCAGCCTTCTTCAGGCTACATACTGTATAACATCATGGCCATTGACGACACAAATCATGAACAATGGTTTGTGACCTTAAAACACTAGGAAACCACAACAGCGTCACTGACTCACAAAAAAACAAAAAAAAAAGATTATTAAGTTTTTGCATTAAAACTATCTGAATTGATTTTTTTTATCCATCTTCACTTGGCTGAACTCATCAAATATATTAAGAAAACGTGATGAGATTACGAAGTGTCGATGCACCCAATCTATTGAAGAAGTGTATTTCACAGCTGGCCAGGCAGTTCTTGTTGTTAATGCTGGACTGTAGGAGCTTGCTTCTCAAAAAAGTCTATTGGAGATGTGTATGAAATAAGACTTTTGTGTTGGTTGGACCACAGTGCTTTTGCTTGGGGTTTTCCTGTGGACACGCTGGAGGATCTACAAAGGAATGAAGGATGGTGTGTACCAGGTGTCTGCTCACCATGATGGCTGGGAGGACATCCGTGAAAATGTGCTCAACTACGATGAAGAGGGTGGAGGGGAGGAGGATCAGGTGAGAACATGAAGCGAGAGTAAGGTGATACACAATACAGTGACAGATCAAGATCAGATCAAGATACTTTATTTGTCACATACAAGTTATACAAGTTATACAAGTATAACGTGTAGTAAAATGAACCCTGAACAACCCTTAGAAAATACAATTAAGAATCAGTCGGCAAGTTAAAAATCTTACAATAAACTAAAAGTTAAAAAAAAATAAGAATAAAATATATGCATAATATAGAGAAATATAGTTGTTCTAATATAGAAAATAATCTTAAGATTTAAAGTATACATGTGCATATGATTTAAAGTGCAGCGTGCCTTGTTGCAGTGACATACGTATAAATATATGCAAAGGTGGTTGGATATGTAATTTACAGATTGTTAAAATAGCAGGTTGGTGACAGGTAGGAGGAGTTTACATGAGCTGTGTGTATTAAGGGTGTAGTGGTGGCATGTCCTGATTAAGGATTCTAACGGCGTGAGGAGAGATGCTCCTCCTCAGTCTCTGTTTTTACCATAATGCTCCTAAAGCATCCTGGTCGCTCTGCTCCGGCATCTCCTGGTATAAATGTCCTGCAGAGATGGTAGAGAAGATCTGGTACAGCGCTCTGCTGCCCAACACAAAATATGGCCAGAGTTAACTGTGCAAGTCTACACAACAGAGTATTCTTTATGGTGTATTCTATTACTGAAAGACTGATTTGTTTTCTATCTCTGCAGTAAAATTAGTCATTACACGTTTTGTTGGCTACATCTTACTGCAGTATCTCCAAGGAGCTGAATCATAACTTGCTAATTACCGATTAACACTTATAATCATGAGAATTCCAAAAAGACTGATTATGATTACATAAAAGTTGCTAATTGGGCATTATTCTCTTTTTTTTTCTTTTTAAGACATTTTGTGAAGGGATTGTACTAAAAAGGTACACTGATTACAAAAGAAAGTTTATTATTTATATTATTTATATACTTCTGAACTTCTCCCAGTTGTCACTCCATCTGCTCATGCTACCCAGTAATAAGTGTCCATGAAACGTAAACTTCTAAATCTCTTCACCACCTCAATGACTTTGCTCATATTCATTGAAGGTTGAAATTCGTTCCGGTTTTAAAGAGATACCAGTCATATTAAAATTAATCCAATAAAATCTGATAATAAATCACCAGCCAATGTCCTGTGTATCCTAAGGGAAATGCATTATTTGCTCCAGAATCAAAATTTGAATCCTCCCTAGTCATCAAAACTCTTGTAATTTAAATTACCAAAATTTCACCTAACAGAATCAATCATAAAACAGCATTTACCATCCTTTGAAATTAAACCATATATGCTTAATTTCAGCTTTCACCCAAACCCTAACCCAACCCTACGTTTTTTTTTTTTTTTTGCACCTACTCGCACTAGTTCAAGTTCTTGTGCCTTTGCTAGGGTTAGAGATTAGGGATGCCATTGGGGTTAGGGTGCACTAAGCTGGGCACACCCAGAAGGGTATACCCTGTAGAGTGTGCTCTGTAGTGTACACTATGTAGTGTACCCTTTGTAGGGCACACCCGGAAGGGTATACCCTGTACAGTGTGCTCTGTAGTGTACACTATGTAGTGTACCCTTTGTAGGGCACACACTGATTTTTTTAGATTTAGAGTTAGACTTTTAAGCATTGAACAAATGCTATTGTTGTCCCTAACCCTAACTTGACTCTGATATTAAACCCAAGTTTAATTCCCAGCATTATCCATAATATCAATTGTAATCCTAAACCTAGATCTAAGCTGTAATGCGAACACTCATTCATAACCCTGACCCTAATGTTAACCCTGTTGCCTAGCCTAAACGCAACCCTAGCTCTAATATAGATTCCAAACCCAAAGACAACCCTACACCTAAAACTAGATGCATCCCTAATCCTAGTTTCCATAATTCAAGGCTGGGGTACATCTTGATTGGATGGCAGGTCATCACATTCCCACACTTACACACTCACACAGTCATATATTATTGACAGTTTAGAGACACCAATTAGCACATGTCTTTGTACCTCAGGTAGAAAGTGGTGTACTCTCTGGAAACCCACATAGCATAGAGAGAGCATGCAAGCCTCACACTCTGAGCATAGGTGATCGAAAGTAATATATTTGAATCTTAAAGGTAGAGAATACAGAAATGACTGTTTCTCTCTCTCTCTCTCTCTCTCTCTCTATCAGAATGCCTATGACATGGTAGAACTACAGAAATCTCTGCAGCCTAGCCCCGCCCAGTCTGTCCAGTACAGCCAATCACGAGTGGCTCATTTCCACCCCGCTACAGAACAGGACACAACCCTCACTGTAGGCTGTGCCACTACATTACGCCTGGATGTCCCACCCATCCGGACTCAGCAGCAGGTCCAAAGCCGACCTTTGCTCCTAGCCCGCAAACACCTCTCTTTCTCCAGCCAGGACTTAGCACGGTACCTGTGTGATGTCATCAGGGACGCAGAGCAGCATCTGGACATGGCGCCCTTTGACTCACTGAGGGTCTTCTCCACCGAGGGTGGGGGCTCCCCTGCTGGCTCCCTCAGCTCATTCAGCTCAGCCGGCCTTGAGGAAGACAGGGGCCAACAAAGTCTGACAGACTGGGGGCCCCGTTTCGAGAAACTCAGAGCACTGTACGAAAGGTCCGAGTCCAGTGACCTTTAAAGTCGCGCTCTATCTTCTGCAGCAAGACACAAAAAACATGGACGCTGAGGAGGTTACAGGAAGGAGGAAGATGTTGCAAGAAAGTAAAGGACATAAAAGGAAAATATGCTATACCTGAAGGAAAAGGAAGGACTCCTTTGAAATGGAAAGAAGGCCGTATTTATACTGAGTTCAGATGGTGAACAATGAACGTGGAATTTAAGAAGCTGAGTACAGGGTTCTGTTGTGACAGACGGATCAGCATGTTTTAACTGGGATATGTTTTATTTAGAAATCCAGAGAGGGTTTGACCCCTGAACTCTGGCCTGTGACTTGCAGCTGCTCACCGATGTAATGACTTGTGCGTTTTTCCTGAGGGTGACGGGCAGCTCTCGTTTTGTTTTTTCAAAGATGACCATTTCCTTTTTAAAATGATTTCTTAAATATTGGACATCCACTGTGGAGTTTGTAAAACATGCTGAAGAAGAGGTGAATCTTGGAGAACAATTGTGCAGTACAGCATAATTTTGAAGTAAATGTGTCAGCGGATCATAAGGATCAGTGAATTAATTATTATTTTTCTTTAATACTGGGACATCACTGGTAACCAGGCGAATGGACTACAGTGTATGGACATATACATGAAGATGGTTCAGATTTAATAAAAAGGCACAGGGGTCATTCCTTAAAAATGTGGAATCCATGGACTTATTTTTTATATTAACTGTGAATGGGTCTGCTGGATTTTGATATATAGTTTTTACTTTTGTTTTTAAAACTATCACAAAAAATCACTATTTTCAAAGGAAACCGATATTCCTGTTTCGAACACCATTGCATAGTCTGTGTATAATGTGCTTGTGAGGGTATTTATATATCAGACATTTGCACAGTAAGGCATTGTTGCAAAAAATTGTTTATTGCCCAGAGACATTGAACTGAACTGCATTTCTTGTAAGGCTCAATGAACTATCATTGTTTGGTGAATAGCAAAGTGCTGAGAAGAGTTGTATTTCATATGTAGGATAGTATTTTGATCATTTTTATATATTGCAGAAATGTTGGGCTGTGTTGATGAAAGCTGTGCTGAAAGGAAGCCGGCCTCTTTAATCCTAATGAGAACTGATAGCTGGTAGTCATGCTCTTTTCAAAGAAGGCCAGTCATTTCTGCTGGTCTCAAGTCACAGAGTCACAGATGCCTTTCAAAAGCTAGCAGCGCAAGTTTAAAATGCGAATTACCAGAATCCGCCTGTAAAAGTGTAACTGAGTGGATCCATTTTTATTCTTTTGTTCTGGACTTGAGAGCCGGCAGGAGGGGGAGTCTGGTTCACGGCCTATAACACATATATGTATACTGAGCATCAAAAGAAACTTATGAAACCTTTTGCAGAGAATTGCTTCCGATTGTTTGTAACAGTGTATTGATTGACAACAAGGACAACAAGAAGCGGTGAAGTGATCACTGCTGCCCTCATTATCTGGTGTAATCTCTCTGTGCCGCTATGATGACAGTGCATCTTGATCTCTCGCTCAGTATAAGATTACAGTGACAGCCTGTGGTATACTGGCCCACTCTTCCTGTAATGCCAACATCTTTCTGTTATTGGGACATGGTAACCAGGAGGCTATGTGTTGACTTAGAACATCCCATAGGTGTTTGATATGACTCAGGTCTGGTGAGTATGGTTCCCAAGGCATTGAGCATTCTGTTGTTGCTAATCTTGAGCTGCACAAGGACGAGCGTTGAAATACAGTGACATCCTGGTCTTGTTGCAGGAAGGGAAAAACACATCTCTATTGCTGGAAGGTGTAGGGCTGTACCTGACTCAGAATTTTGTCAATCGAATCAGAGTCAGCTGTTGAATGTTACACTTATGTAACATTTTTCAAGACACCCAGGGTATAGCAGGATGACGCGACAGCAGCCATTCTGCACCAGTATGCTCACCACACAGTAACTAGCGTGCTGAAGGGGCAGGAGAGAATTCACCAGTTAGATACAGATGATTAAGAGCCTCTGTGGGAAATTTTAACCGAGTGTCCCAGCCCTACTCTTCTGAAAGATGCCCAGGAATCTTTTATGACCTCAGAGAGGGCCACACCAACGCCTCTCCCAGCAGTAACCCAGCTTTCTTAGTTGGTCTCCTATCTAAGTACTGGCCGGGCCCAAACCTGCTTAGCTTCATATGGAGTACCTGGTCTGAACTGCAGGTGGTTTGGCTGCTCAATACAAATATTCGACTATTAGTTTTTTTTCCCGTATAGTATATCTGGTACAAAATCCATTGGCATGAGTTTCAGTGATGATTTAGAACATACTCTGCAATTCTCAGTGCAACTCCAGCGGTACACCACGCTTTGTTCTTTCTTTGTTTACATTATGGATTTGTCAGAATAATGAGACAGGCAGCACACATGGATTGCTGTTTAAATAAAGCTGTTATAGCTGAGTTTGTTTGAATAGCATTGCCTGTGCTCTCCTCAAGCACGCAGAGATTGGTCATGAAGTAGCACAGGGCAACGCACAACCACCAGTTAATTAATTTGAAATTATAATCGTTATTTTGACATATTAAATTACTGCCATTTTCAGTCTCTGTTTCGTTTTATTCATGCCAGGTGCAGCACAGTATGTACATTGTAGCAGTCAAACATACACCTTAATTTAATTATAACCACAATGATATCCTGATATCCAATGATTCTTTAGCTGTCATAACCTGCCAGGCTGGTGTTGAATTCACAGAGGGTGAATAACAGGCTGATGATATATTGTTATCGATTTTTGTTCATAGTGATCCATACTAACGCTTGAACATTACACCCAAAATTAAGGAATAATTAATTTAGGCTATTTGGTTTTTAGCAATGCATTTCAGCAGTATGCCATCTTTAGCGTGGTAAGACGGTAAGGGTGGCTTAGTAAGTCTGTCATCTGACATATTTCCAATAAATCCATGAGTGTATGCGCTTGAGTGTGCATTTTTTGGTTATTATTTAAGTCTTTATTTAAACTGCGCCCAAAGATTCAGCTGCCACCCTATAGGTGGACTAGTAATCACAGTCTTGCCTATTGCAGAGATTCAAAGAGGCTATAGGCCCAATTCACAGAGGCTATAGGCCTAACTCAGAGAGAATATAGGCCTAATTCACAGAGGCTATAGGCCTAATTCACAGAGGCTATAGGCCTAACTTAGAGAAGCTATAGGCCTAACTCGGAGAGGCTATAGGCCTAACTCAGAGAGGCTATAAGCCTAATTCAGGGAGGCTATAGACCTAATTCACAGAGGCTATAGGCCTAACTTAGAGAAGCTATGGGCCTAACTCAGAGAGGCTATGGGCCTAACTCAGAGAGGCTATAAGGCTAATTCAGGGAGGCTATAGGCCTAATTCAGAGAGGCTATAGGCCTAACTCAGAGAGGCTGTAGGCCTAATGCAAAGCCAGTTGCATGCAATGTTTCTCTAAGTTATTTATAAGTTAATAAGAATGCTGCTTTGTCACTGATCCAACCCGCCTGCACCAGAATTATTTTCGGGTAAGATGACCCAAACCTGCCCTATCCACGCATCAGGATCCACGGGTTACAGGTAGACCTGTGCATCACTACTGCCCAGATAAGTGCTAATGCTGATTTTTTTTTTTGTGAGCAACCTGCTAGCCTATAAAAATATCTTTATGATTCCCTGTATTTATAATTCCTCATTGATATGTTATATCTTAATGCTGATTGCCAGACTATACTCACCTTAATTGCATATTAATCTCCACAAATTCAATCAACCATGATCAGGTGATTGGCTCTTAGGTATTTACATAAAATTATTATAGGAGAATGTGTCACATCACAGAAACTGGAAACTACCCCATTGAAAAACTTAAGTTTCGTTTGATGCTCAGTAAGTATACACACAGGTATCCGGCAACTTTCGTCTGCATTTGGGACCAAGTCCAGGACCATCGGACGCAAGTCACTTTGGCCGTATCTTGATAGTTATAGGGGAGATGCAAGACATCAAGTGCAGTACTGTAATATGCACACACTACTCTCCAGCAAATAATAATGTAAATAATTCAAATGTAAATAATGATGTAAATCACAAAACTTTATAATAAAAAGTCGTACACCTGCAAACGTCCTACTGCGTCCGCTGTCAGGCGTCTCTTGATCACTGTATGTTATTTACAATGACCCTCAGATGTAAATGTGATCAGACGCCACTCAATATGATGTAAGTCAATGGATACCTATATTATATATTACGTTGCTTTTGATTTATTCACTGGATTTCTTGTCATGTACTTGCCGTGTGCAATCAATGGTTTTCACTCTGTTTCACATAACGGCATAACATCACACTGTATTCCCTCATTTGTAGATACTCCAGCACACATTTTAAAACAATTGTAAAAACAATTATGAAAAGGCCAATGAAAGTCAGTAACAATGACAGACGTTAAACACATGGTTTTTACATAATTAAATATTTCACCTGTTGGTTAATATTTTTGTGTTCTTTGGATTGTGGTGTTGATAAACATTGATAAAACACTGGGTAAAAGAGCAATTTATACAGATAGCTATAACTGATAGGGAATAACAATTATTTTATATATTAAATATAGTATACATATCTAAAGTTGCTTTTCAACACCTTTTTCAGCATGTAATGGGTTAAGAGAAAGAAATGTCTTTGCCTGTCTCCATATCCACAGTTAATATCCACGTCTTTCTATCTGTGTGGATATGGCCATAGTAAATGCTGTGATGTGAAAACCAATCAGAATTGAAGAACTCATCAACATTTCTGATTTGCAGCAATGATAAGTCTTAAAATCTGATGATCTACCATGTTTGAAGCTTTGCCGTCACTGGCAAACATTCCTGGAGATTTCATGTTCTCCTTCTGACCCTGTCTTTTATCTCCTTACACTGTGGTTTACACTATTTTGAGTCTCTACGTCAGTTATCTGTAGTGTGTGCATTAATGTTCCCTGTGAGTTTCTAGCATCCCATCTAGATCATATACAGTGCTTCCTTTGGTTATCTGGTATTAGATCTGCAGTTAGGGAAGATGCCAGATTCCTTTCAGATTGAATTTTCCACGCAATCTACACAGGTTTGTGTAAGGACTGACAACTGTGACAAGTAATGTGGCTGAGCAAAGGGACTCTGAAGGCAATAAACCGTGATAAGCGGCAGAAGAAGGAACTCTAATGTCAGGTTTAAAGCTTAGCTGGCTAGACATATTTAACTTTGCCTGAGATATGTACTCTATCAAGCCAGGGTAAACAAGGCTGCGCTGCGGTATGAGGCTTCACAGCTCACTGCCTCCAGTCTCTTCTGTGCCTCCTTCAGTTTATTTTCCAGAAAAATATCAGGAATTAAGCGAAAGCGTCAGAGATTGCAAATGAATTTGTGATTATATAATTTTTCGGTCCACAGGTTCAGACATACTTTCTCCCAAAGCGGACTAAAGACAGAATGGCATCGCAGTGATGATGTCGCTACCTTATGTCTAACTAGTTTGATTACTATTGCTAAATTGCCAAAATGTGCATTGTTGTATATCCTGATTGGATATTTCCATATCTCCATAGATATTTCCATATCTCAGTGGTCACACTGAATTTCTATTGCTTTGTCAGACTTAAATTTTCTGTTGGATGCATTGTACCCTCCTCCTTGCGGGCAAAAGCTGATACAGGCAAGCAACAGAATAAATGGTGAGTCCACTAAGAACACGAGGAAAGAAAAGCTCTCTCATTCCTCAGAGACTTCTGCTTTAATTTCATGCAGGGCTATCTTCTTGGTCGGGGTACTTGGCCTCACAGTGGTGGGAATGCTAGGAAAAATGTAACACAGATTACATTTCAAAACACCCCCCCCCCCCGGCAAAAAAAAATATATATATTTCCAGAATGTACTTCCTTTTTCATTGTATTTTTAATCATTTGTTTGAGTCAGACAATGTTACTATATGCTGAATGGATGCTTATAAAAAAAAACCAAACATGTATTTGTGTTTGTTGAATCACACAAATTTAGCAAAGTTATTGAAATTCAAATCTAGGAGACAGAGAAGGAGGGGTTCACATAGGCTGGGTAAGAATAAGATGCTGAATTAAGGTATAGTTAACCACAGTTTTATGTCTTTACAAGTAAACATATACATGCATACTGCCACATTACACAATGAATATCTACACTGGTCTACTATACTAATATTGTTCTAGAAAATGCAGATACAACTATATATATATATATATATATATATATATATATATATGCATCAAACGGCGCAGTACATCTATACATTACATTTCTACAAAGTAGCCCATGCCTTTGCAGAGAGCTGCAGTCTGTCTTTGAAGATACGTAGAGATACATCATGCCACTAATAAGCCTTGCTGTGCTTTTCAAACATATGGCGTGTCTCACTTGAGTAATAAGTGATGAACTGAACCAAAAATTTGCCATTTTTTACATTAAAATTTTACTTGAAGAGCATGGTTATTGACGTCTTCCGCAATCCACTTCAGAAGGAATATTATCAACACCTTTTTGCTGAAGAGCTTCTCGGTGAAGAGTTTTGAAGGGTTCTGAAGCCGCCATCTCAGTTGATCTTGGAAACGAGGGGAGAAGATGGGACCAGGCAGGGTGTAGATTTGGGTATGGACAGTATGGACAGTAGGGACGCGTCCCTACCGATATTGTGGGAGTAGCGTGTGTGTTTGGGGAGGAGGCAGGTCAGGGCTGTTTGATCCCCACCAGTGTTGAAACCAAACTGGCACACTATTATCTGAAATGAACAAACACACACACAGACACTACAGTCAACATTCTTGGCATTTTGTGAGTTTGTTATACTCCTGATGACTTTAACCTTCTTAATTATTGCTGTGATTGTGGTATATAGTATATCTAGATTGTTTTGTACCTGCTAGATATTTCATTAAGTTCTATAAGAATTTTACATTATTACAGTATTTGCATTTAATTTTTTCTTTGTTCTACTTGTTATACAAAAATTCTGACCCATTACAATTGAAGATAGAATTCAAGTTGTGTATAAAAGATACCTTTTTATATTTTTTCTTTTATATATGACATTGTGTATATATATATATATATGTTCATTAGTTGTGCATTTGTTGCTCAATATGCTGTCAATAAAAGCATCATTCGTCCGAAAAGTTCCATCCAAAAATTTTGTGCATTGTTCACTAGTGTGTTGTTCACACACTATGCAGAGTAAACAAAGGAGGGGGAAGACGTATAGTCACCCCCCCCCCCCAGATTCACACATTTGACATTTGCAGTTTCATTATTTGCGAGTTGGCTGTGAGAAATTAAATGGGAGTATTTTTGGAGCTTGCTGATCGCAGAAACTCACAGACTATGCATAAGTGAAAAACAATACTGCAAATGTTAATTTTAAAGACTATATCTTTAAAATTAAATTAAACTGTGGAATCTACACAAACTGGCTTGGGTTTGCCATGCAAGGGGGGGGGGGGGGTCTCTACCCATTTTAGAGGGTCCAGGGGGTTGTATTGACTGGTTTTGATTATCGGGGGCGTTACTACCCACCCATGCCCCCCCCCGCCCATTATTTTCACCCATAACGTTACACATCTTTGTCAAGCATCCAGCCTCGCTCTCCATAGCTATCTGACCCGGCATTTCTCGCAGTAACTTAAACATTTTTTCTGCACCATTAAATTTGCACTTCTAATGATGCGCTCAAGTGTTATTTGTGACTTTCCACATTGGCAGGGATCTGCCCCCCCTATCCCTCGTGCATGTGGAGGGGTCACTGTATTGGAAACGCCATCTGTAAAGGAAAACCATCAATGTCAACCAACCTAGGTGGTCGTTCGTCACAATTAGAAAAGGTAAATGACGGACGAAGGCATACGGTTCTCCTGCTGTTAACTTTCCTCCCACAGCAAGGAATGTACTGCAGGTGCCAACAAATGGCTGGTTCACTTATTTCCCCACCCAAACACAAAGCCAATGCATCACCTAGTGTGTTACAGTCTAAATACAGGATGTTACTCTCAACAGTAAAAACAGCTTTAACCATTTACTGACCACTATACTGGCACTTTGTACAACATCTGTCAAATTTAGGTTGTTTGCTAATGTTTACTAATGGACCCAAAATGACTAATGATAAACAGCCTGTGACTTCAATGTTAAAGGCATTTACAATTCATTGTCTTTATCTGTCCATTTAAATATAGTAACTTGAACTTCACCATATTTTTCAGTGTCACAAAAATTCTTTGCATTTAACAAATTTATACAGTTATCTTAGGTGTTCACTGCCACCCTATAGTGTTTATCAACTGAGAATTTATTTATAGGAACAATATGATGAATTGTTTTTTTTTGTGTACAAGGCAAATATTTTGATTGGCATTAATGATTGTAAGTAAAATGGGCAAATGACTATTTTTAAATGGAAAAATTGACTTTTGGACGTGTGGAGATGACCGTCACAGACCTCTGGCAAAGTAGCTCAAATGACCACAGATTCAGATGAAAAGCATGGTCTTTTGGAAAAACAAAGTTCAACCTTTATCATTTACAGATTGTTTTTTTTGAGGGGGGGTTCATCCCTAGGATCAGCATGTTCCACCAGCCCCCCTGTTTAGCACCATATCACAACACCCCCAGTTGCCCTCTAGCAGAGGTGACATCGCTGCAGTTTTGGCAGGGCTAGTGCTGGAGAACAGGAGTGGCTGCTGGAAGTCATGTGACAGTAGAGCGAAGGGCGGAGTCTCAGGCGTCGGCGTTCCTGACGGCGTCGGCGTTCCTGTCGGCCGCGGCCCCTGCTCTCCCTGCCCTCCCTGCCCTTCAGCCGGCTCCACACCTGACACGCCACCGTCCTAAAGAATTCCCTGGTGAAGAGTTAAGTGTTGAAGGGCCCATCTCTCTTGATCTCTTCACAGAGACGGGGGAGAGAAGACAGGGTCAGGTCTGGCACGTTGCTTCTCACCCCATCTATCATCTGAAATGAACACATGCATTTTACACTATAGTCAACATTCTTGGCGACAAACTGTGATAATGCCACCATGTTTCTTACAGGATGCTTTGATTCCAAAGCGGAATAAACAGGACGCGATTTGTCAGACATTCACCATTCAAAATGTGCCCATTTACCGAAAGAACTCAGATTAAATACTTTATTTAATACTTCCAAGGCCTTGAAAGTGAAATTCTGGATCACAGTCTTCTCCAGTTTTTTAAGCACCTGCAATATATGTGACTAAATCGTAACTGTGACCAAAGTACTTATACAAGTACTTATAAAAATGTTGTGAGGATCCACAAATAGCAGTCACAGATTAAGGCACGAATGAAGGCTTTGTATTCCAATGAAAATAAAGCCACCACTTCTATTGAGTTTGCCCCTTTTGATTAGTGTGAGCC